TATATATATATATATATATATATATATTACATCTGTTCACAGTTCAGTAAATGTGATTGTCCAAAAAGCAGCAGGATAGTTTCCACCAAATGTGCTGATTTTATATCACAGTTAAAATTCTTAACCATTATTACCGGAAGCCTTTGTACCATTAAAAATTGTAAAGGTTAGTTATGAAATGCATGGCAAGTACAAAAGTCTGACTTTTTTCAACTGGTTACAGATTTTTAAAAATGATGTATCAGCCAGCTGTAAATCCGTGGAACATTAATTTGAGGTCTCTCTGTTGCACTGAAGGTTTACCGGGTTCTTTACTTTCTGGATAAGTTTTATGACCCTGGAGCCCATGAGACTCATTCAGACTCTTTCTTTACTGTAGGTAACACTGTGTGGGTGGAAGAGAGCTTCCACTTAGAATTCAATCAACAAACACAAATAAATAACCAACGGAAAGGTCTGTTTTTTCTTTTCTTTGTTCCTCTTCATTTCATTATGATTAATTGTTTAATACTAATTAAAATAAAGCTAAAAGTGTAGATTCAATAATTATCACCCTGTTATATTTCATAACAGATAAACATGTGGGTTTGTCACCTCTGAAATAATGCAGCTCAGCTTGTCAGTGGCAGAAAGCTGTCAAAATAATTAGCTTATGCAAATGGGAGCTTAGAACCTGAGGAAGCCACCTCTGCAGAAATAATAAACCTGTGTGTTTTGTATCTAGAGGCATAGCAGTAGCATGACATAGCAAATGATGGAGGGATGAGCGCTAACGCTGCTCATGCTGCTTACCACACGTTTGTATTGGCATAGCTAATTAAGCATAATTGAGTGCTTTCTACTATCCCTTCTCCGGAGGCCCATATCTACCCTCTGTTGTATTTATGCAAAGGTTATTTGGAGACAAAAAACAATCCAATTACACGTAGAGTATTGGCTTTGCAAAAAATGCAACAAGGACTTGGTCACAGGCCCTCAAAACATCTTGCTCTATAATAAAACCATCAGTCTTTGACTTTAACATGTGGTCAAATGCTTTGAACCGCAGTTCACTTGAGCATCCTTGCAATGCCAAAGTATTTTAGTGCTATTTTACTTTTTTGCACACCCTAAGTTTAATCACAAACCATCAAAAAAGGAAAGACAAAGACATCAGAAATCACCTTGCACCCCTGGACTCATTTAGTTCTAACTATGAAATACGATAAATTTCTAATACACGTTCACACATGCAAGATACAGACGCTGGCTAAGATTTAAACACACATTCAGTCATTAACAAAGCCATCATATTCCCCATCATGCCAAAACCATGTTAAGACCATATAAGAGGGCTCTGTGATCATTACGAGATGACACTGCCAATTACCAATACAGCATTTCCGTTTTGTCTGTAAGAGGCAATAGGGGGATTAACTTCAGGACTCTCTGCCTCTCCTCTCCCCTCTCATGAAGCAGGCTATGTTTACTGACTAATCTCTTTTCTTGCTTTAACCATAAATGTGATTACCACTACACAAGAGATAATAAAACCCCATATCTTAGCAGTACCAAAGAGCATGAATTAAAACCTAAGCTGTAGCCTTGAGGAATATCTAAACCAAATAAAATCCACAGCATAAGAACTATTTCATGTTGGGTGCATACAGCCCCCTACTGGCAAACACTACTCACTATTTAGCCAAATCCAACACAACAAGCTCCATGATCATCTTCTGTTGAATATGAGCAACAGGTATGCAGACACTTTCCAAAGGTATGTTCTAGTGTCACTGCTCCAAAGTCAGTCCTTTACTTGCTCCGATTTACAGACATGAGGGAATTTCAAATGTGTGTTTCAGCAGATTACACATGATGCACTCACATATGAGTCTCACTGTTACTTTGATTCTTGCTGTCACCTCCGCCAACTCTTTAAGGAGAGGAAAACCTGCCTTTAATTGTCAATGAAGTTAAGTGTTTGTGCATTAACCAAATATTTAAATTGGTTCATAAAATGTAAAACACACACACACACACACACACACACAGGCGATGAAACTACACGTTGAGATTTTTACATAAAGAGCAACATGACTAATGCTTTTACGCATGCGGCTCACTCCTGGTGTCTGTTTGATTGTGGATAAGAAATGAAAGGCAGCTCAATGTGATTCACCACTGAGCAAGTTGGAAATGGAGAGGATCACGCGACCTTCAAAGAGCAAATAAAAAAAAAGACAGAGCGAGAGGATATATAGATATAAACCAATTCAGTCGCAATGGCATCCACTGAACACTTCAAATACCGACGAATAAGTTCAGATAAAAGCTTGGACAAAGTCGACCTCATGGAATATATTAGGAGAAAAGGCTGATACTTTTCATGAAACCGCGGAGGACTCTACATGAATCCGCTATTAAAAGCGGGGGTGAAATGCAGCATGTTAGTGACGGGACATATTAAATGGTTAAAGGTCTGAGAGAGAGATCACAGAGATTATTGTAAAATTGTTTGATTTAAGGGGAAGAAACGAGACGTGACACGTGGTGAAGGGGGCCAAACGCCTCGTTGATTTGTCAGTTTCGCCTACCTGATATTTCCTGATGAGGTACATTGACGAGGCTGAATCCTTTAGCGTTATAAGCTTGTCTAACCTCGCTACAGCTCCGCGCTTTGCTTTCACCACCGGATGACAGGGACAGCACCGACAGAGTACATAAGGCGACTTGCAGTCTCCACATCGCATACATCAGTGAAATCCTTGATAATGTTTCACAGAGAAATAAGAGATCCGATAGAATAAGAGAAATCCCAAAAAACAAAGCCTGATTGAACGATTTCTCCAGTCTGCGCGATCAGATTTTCATTTTTTTAAAGAGAGAGAGGGAGAGAGACTCCTCACTTTAGATGCTGGTGCTTCCACCTCATTTTCCCCTCGAAAAGAAAAGAAATAGCCAACGAGTCAGATGGGTCCCAGTCTGAACAAAATCCTCGTGAAGAAGCTACCTGGTGCTCAGTGTGCCAACAACTTCTCCAGCGCACGCACACACCGCTGTCCCGTGTTTATGTCAGTGTGAGGAAAGCGAAATGCAACGGAGACGCACGCTGCACAGCGAGCAGAGCGCACAGGGCAGGGCAAAACATGGAGTGGAGTGGCTGCGACTTCAGCAGCTCACATCCAGGGGCGCGTACTGTCCTCTGCCATTTATGCATCCTCGGTAACGCACACTATCGCACATTAGAGTGGAGACACATGTTGGAGGCGCGGGGAGTGTGGGCGGAGTACAACGACACACTGGCCACACACTTGAGGTTATTTCCTTTTAATGTCATCAATCTGATGTTGGCGCACGAAATAGAAGAACCCTCTGTGACCATTCCGTGTCTTTTAATGAATCCAATCGATGGGAGTAATAAGAGGGAAGGCTAGAAAACTCATCCAAAAGATAAGGCACAATATGATCTTAGCAGCTATGAACATTTGTAACGCACCAAATCCTGTTTGAAACACCTCAGAGGACTGCGCGTTAACTTACTGTAATTTCCTGGACACATAACCCCAACACGACCTTTGGCTAATGGTATACCAAGTATTCATGAAATGCAATGTTTCAGGAAACAAAATAAATACTAGTGCACACAAACAGCTACAACATTTATCAAATATATAATACAGCACATCACACATTTTATCTCTAACCTTTTTTTCCCCTTAGTTTAAGATGATGCTCGCATTAAGTCAGGACTGTTTGTCTGTCTTATATTCATGAAGATGATTTGACCTAATTTAAATGCACTAGCCACAAATGGCAACAGTGAGCTGACTTATCACACTATAGCATCAAAGTGATTTCCAACATCTTTTAACAATGAGGTAACTTTGTTAGACAGGAGGGAAAAGTTTTACAGTTATAATGAAGAAAATCCGCGAGGAAAAGTATCTCGTTATATTGTGAAATATTTCCTCCTGAGAGTAAAAAACAAAAAGAAAGGAAAGTGAATCTCATAATATTCAGTATAAACACTCCCTCTGTGTGTTTTTGTGTTTCGGGAGCTGCTTGCTTGTTAAAATCAGCTTTAAAATACACCGCATAAGTGCAATTAGACATAACTCAGGGCTGTGAAATGTAAAGGAGAAAACCAGGAAAGCAGGGTTGCACTAGACCATAGAAAGCATAAAAATTTGAGGGAATGATCGTGTCTTAATTCGTTTGGGGCTAATGCAACATGAAATTATGCATTTACTAAGCAATGTAGATGGGACTCATCATTTCAGACTGTGAATACTAAGGGATGCTCTCTGCGATGTTTGATTATCGCTTCAGGATGTACAGAAAGACCCATCTGCCCCAGTGAAAAGTCTACCTCATTTTTAATATTAGATTATTAGGATCTTTGCGCCCTGAAGCAACAGGGCAGCCCAGTATCTTTCAGTAACAGGCAGACACATTTTTTCTTGCAAATACAAAATGCATGGTCTTAAAAATACTTCAGACTTCAGTTCTAGTAAGGACTGATCATTTAAAACTATTAGCCTGGTTTGAAGATAAATATTCAGTTGCTGATATATTTCTCAGCTCATTTGAAATCAGCTCCCTTTATCCACACCTTTCTCTGAATCCGTTGCACTTCCCTTGAAGTTACATAACACGATAATCCTGAGTAATAAACATCCTGTAAGTAAACAAGCTTTATTGAATTTTTGTTGATACTGGAATGAAGGTGTGTCAGATTAGCCTGCAGGCCAATGGAATTGCTGTGTACTCAGCTAATGCTGGTAATGATTAAATACTGAGCAGGTCAGATTTGGATGTTAGTCAGGCACTTTGATATTTTACAGAATAACACGATACCACATTAGCTACTGCAGAAATGATTAAATGTGCAAATTTGAAGGGAAAAACTGAACTAGGGTGAACTTTGACCTTAGTCTGCAGAGGTCAGCCAAGCATTCACAGTAAAATAAGGAGCATCAATTTCTGCCTAAAAGTCTTTTAACTGAAGCAAATACAGAGTAAAATCTGTACAGTCGTAAATGACTGAACATCCAGATGTTCTTAACAGCTGATGGACCTCCTCCTATAGGTCGGTGTATGTCATAATGCTCTTAATCTCTATGTGTTGGTCAAAATACTCAGCAGGCTCATTGGCAGATACAGGGGAATGGGTCTAAATGAGAGCTAGCTTTTAGCTAATCTCTGTTACCTAAAATAGTAGATGATTACAGTATGTATAGCTGTAACATCCACAGGCATAACAGCCCTGTGAGAGCTGTTGTCTCTCTCTCTCTCTCTCTCTCTCTCTCTCTCACTCACACACACACACACACACACACACACACACACACACACACACACACAGCAAAAATAATATAGCATCATTCCAGCTTTTGATCAGCACTATGGACAGCAACTACACTACAAAAAAACACAAAAGAGTTCAGCGCCTTGGAAAAGTAACATAAAGACAGATGTAATGTGTATAGCATGAAACAAATGAGAGAGGCCCATTAACCACAGGTTACTGTACCAAACAAGCACACTTATTCAACCAGCTTCTAGATATATCACACACACACACATTACAGTATGAGTGCATATTTTTAACATGTAAACGGTAGCAATGTTTCAGCCCTTTTACAAAAACAGAACATTTTCTTTTGGGCCTGGAGTTCAGCAGAGTCACTGACAGCACTGCTCAGATCCCAAGTCCTGGTGATATGCTCGCCATGTTCTCTTCTCTCTTTTCTCTTTGGAGCATTACTTTTTTGTTTTTTTACTTTGGCTTGCTAAACATATTTTATAATGCCACTGCACCAACAAACTGCTCCTTGAGACACTCACCGAAAAACAAATTGTTGCATAGCTGATGTCAGCAGGTTCGCAGGCAAATACAAGGTCAGGAAGTACAAGTAATATATTTCCCAGCATGCCCATCTGCCATCAAAACCTTTCAGAAAAAGGGTGCCTGCTTTAATCAATGAAGGGTAAAGGACTGAATAAATATTTGCAGAGCGAAAATTTGTATAGCCTGTTCACTTTAACGTAATTATGTAAATATGTGCTTTCCGTGTAATGTTGAGGGGCCCATTGGCTAGTCCTGTCGAGTGGTCCTATCTGAGCTTTCAGATCATGGGACATTCCTCCTGTTACCCCATTAGACATAATGCCTTTGGTAACAGTGGTGTGCAATACTGCCAATTTAGGTATCATATTTTCATCTCCAACAAAAGCAATTTATTGAACACACTTCAGTGGACTACACACTGTACTGAACCTAGATGATAGAAAGTATCAATCCTATCACGCTGGTACTGATCCGATAGCAAACCACTGTTGATAGCGATGCCATCAATATTTGGATTGATCCGCCCACCTCTAGTAACGGCCATGGAGATTCAAAGCAAGACAAAATATTGGATTCAAAACTCAAGTTGAGATTTAAAAAAAACAAACTATTTCCTAAATCCACCAATTAGCTAGCTGTCCATCCATGAAACAGCACTCTCAGCATTTTGCAGAAAAGCTCACTCTCCAGATCAGAAGCCAAACTGAAAATGTGCTAAAGACGTTTCTTGTTGGTTTCGCTGTGGCTGTGAAATATGACTGGCTGATATAGACAGGAGACCCTTCATGCATTACAGGCATCACCAGTGTTTCTCCTCGCAAAGTGTTTACTCTGTGTATGCAAGCATGCACACACCATAACAAGCTAACAAGTGAGTGTGACAGCTGCAGAAAGGATGAAAGGGCGAAGAGCAACATACGTGTTTGAACATGCACATTATTAAGCTGGATATTTTGCCACCAAATTCACATTCAGTTAAACTTTATTTTCACATCAAATCTGTAGATAGGCTGTGACCATCCCCTCCCCATGACCCTGAAATGAATAAGTTGGAGAGAATGGGTGGATAGATGGATGGATAAAATCTGTACATCGGCATATATTACTCTGCTGCCTGCCAGATACACAAATAAAATGATCTCCCTGAGAAAATAACATTTCTTATTAAAAATGAGTCATTTCCTGCTCTGAATTGCTTTTAAAAAAGATATGGGGAGCATCATCATACCTAACCACTAAAACAATAAAGCAGTATAGCTGCAAAATGTTGGTAAAAACTGTAAAATCTGACGTCACCATTGAGGGAATTCTGTCACGTGTAAAAATGATTGCTGTTGGAAAATTACAAGGAGGACTCCAAAAAGAAAAGATCTTCACTGACCTAAATGAGCCACAAGATATTAGTTCTCTGTGTCAGCGCTGGACATTATCTTGACACCGCCGAATAAGACAGACTCGACCATTTGTGAGATCTAAATGAAATGGAAAATGAAATTAATTTTCTTTCCTTCTGTTCCTTTTATACAAGGCTTTTGTTTCATAAGTTTAAGAAGTAAATCGGTTTTTGTCTACAGAATATTGTAAAAAGTGACTGTGACTGAAAAAGGAAACATCTGGTGACCATTCAGGAACTTCTCTCACAACTGTGAGTAAATGAATTTCTGTCTTAATTGCATTTCACTACACGCCACCCATTTAGGAAGTTAATGCCCTAAATAGTAGAAATCAGATAAATATAAACACCAACATGGACATGGTAGGCTGACATGTGGTTATACTTCCAGTGAGCTGACTCTGGCATTACAAATATTCATCAGTGAGAATTTTATAAATTTGTTGCTGCTGACAACATTGGTCAATGGGTCAAAATCCTAAGCTATTATAATATAATATGATATAACATAACTCATCAAAATTGTGTGATTTTATCAGCTTTTTGTTCAAACGATCAGCCCACCTTAGATCATGCTAAAGTGTTTTATCTTCAGCCTAAATTCTGTTATCGATTCTATTTAGCAAGAATTTGCCAGTCAGCCATAAACCAAGTCCTCCGTGTTCACCGTGGGTTTCCTCCGCACAGCACTCTAATGCCCCTGCTCACGTAATAAGTCCTTGTTAATGATGCCTAAAGATGATGGCCAGAAGGTGATCCTGGTAGTGGATCGATAACTCACCACGAAGAGTCAGCCCATAGTTCATCGTGCACCACAGGGAAAACTGA